TGGCGGCAGGCTCCGCTGCCGTCGCTCTGATCGGAGCCCCAGCCTTCACTTCTGGCCCCAACGCCGCAAGCAACAGCTACGCTCCTGCTCGCAGCCATGGCACCGTGCAGCAGGGCACCTCTTCCATGGGGGGCGTTTCTTGCACTGTGGCTGCGGCCGGTGTGATTGCACTGGGTGCCGCAGGACGCCGCGCGCAGAAGGTTGCGCGTGCTGGAGTGCTGACCAAGGACGACCAGGGCCGTTTCCGCTTTGATGCCCCCGAGACACCTTTGGTGCCTTCAGAGCAGCCAGGTGTCACCATGCCCTTGGGCTTTTTTGATCCTTTGGGATTCACCAAGAGCGGGCTGATGACCTTCCCTGGCGACTCCACTGGCTTCAAGCACTTGCGAGCGGCAGAGATAAAACACGGCCGATTCGCGATGATGGCAGCAACCGGGTCCCTCTTCGCTCACTTTGTGAAGTTCCCTGGTTTCGAGGATGTGCCGACCGGCTTGGCCGCCCTGGGCACGGACAAGGGCCTTGAAGGCTTCTCTCTTCTGCTCTTCATGATCAGCGCTCATGAGGCAGTCACTTGGAAGCCAGTCAAGGAGCCAGGCAGCTTCGGCGACCCCTTCCAGTGGAAGCAGTTCACTCCTGAGATGAGGAGCAAGGACAGAGCTTTCGGCTTGTCAGCTTGTCAGCTTGTCAGCTTGTTAGCTTGTTAGCTTGTGTGCTTGTCTGCTTGTCAGTTTGTATCACGGCGTCAGCGTTTCAGCCTGCATTCGATAGTAGCCACGGTAGCCGTTGTATTGCAGCTGCCTCCAGGGAACAACAATGTGATATCATATTGGATGGTCTGCTAGACTTGCGAGGCTTGTTTCGGTCAGCTTTTCTTTGTGATGTCTGGAGAGCTTTGGATTTGTTGTAGTGCGCAGGAGATCAACAACGGCCGCATGGCAATGTTCGCCATCATGGGCCAGATCGCCGCGGAATTGGAAACGGGCAAGGGCCCTGTCGACCAGTTCTTGGGCTGAGCACCCACCGGGAGCAGCACAACTGCCTTATTTTCCAATCTTTGATGCCAGCTCTGCATGTGCAGACTCTTACAATGGCTGGGCACTTTCTTGCAGAAGGGGCCAAAAGATGCCAATATGTGTTTTGACATGGATCAATAAGGTATGCATCAGAGCTTGAGGTCATGCTGAGTCAGGTGAAGAACCGGTGAACAGTCGTATGGGGTACTGTTGCCATTGGGCTCAAGAGGCAGTTTCCTCGTTTGAGGTACAAAGCGAAACAGTCCAGTAGGCGCCATGGTCCAGTCGCGCAACTGCGTGGCTTTGGCGGCAGGCTCCGCTGCCGTTGCTCTGATCGGAGCCCCAGCCTTCACCTCTGGCCCCAACGCCGCAAGCAACAGCTACGCTCCTGCTCGCAGCCATGGCACCGTGCAGCAGGGCACCTCTTCCATGGGGGGCGTTTCTTGCACTGTGGCTGCGGCCGGTGTGATTGCACTGGGTGCCGCAGGACGCCGCGCGCAGAAGGTTGCGCGTGCTGGAGTGCTGACCAAGGACGACCAGGGCCGTTTCCGCTTTGATGCCCCCGAGACACCTTTGGTGCCTTCAGAGCAGCCAGGTGTCACCATGCCCTTGGGCTTTTTTGATCCTTTGGGATTCACCAAGAGCGGGCTGATGACCTTCCCTGGCGACTCCACTGGCTTCAAGCACTTGCGAGCGGCAGAGATAAAACACGGCCGATTCGCGATGATGGCAGCAACCGGGTCCCTCTTCGCTCACTTTGTGAAGTTCCCTGGTTTCGAGGATGTGCCGACCGGCTTGGCCGCCCTGGGCACGGACAAGGGCCTTGAAGGCTTCTCTCTTCTGCTCTTCATGATCAGCGCTCATGAGGCAGTCACTTGGAAGCCAGTCAAGGAGCCAGGCAGCTTCGGCGACCCCTTCCAGTGGAAGCAGTTCACTCCTGAGATGAGGAGCAAGGACAGAGCTTTCGGCTTGTCAGCTTGTCAGCTTGTCAGCTTGTTAGCTTGTTAGCTTGTGTGCTTGTCTGCTTGTCAGTTTGTATCACGGCGTCAGCGTTTCAGCCTGCATTCGATAGTAGCCACGGTAGCCGTTGTATTGCAGCTGCCTCCAGGGAACAACAATGTGATATCATATTGGATGGTCTGCTAGACTTGCGAGGCTTGTTTCGGTCAGCTTTTCTTTGTGATGTCTGGAGAGCTTTGGATTTGTTGTAGTGCGCAGGAGATCAACAACGGCCGCATGGCAATGTTCGCCATCATGGGCCAGATCGCCGCAGAATTGGAAACGGGCAAGGGCCCTGTCGACCAGTTCTTGGGCTGAGTACCCACCGGGAGCAGCACAACTGCCTTATTTTCCAATCTTTGATGCCAGCTCTGCACGTGTAGACTCTTACAATGTCTGGGCACTTTCTTGTCCCTGGCCAGTTGCAGAGGGGGCCAAAAGATGCCAATATGTGTTTTGACATGGATCAATAAGGTATGCATCAGAGCTTGAGGTCATGCTGAGCCAGGTGAAGAACCGGTGAACAGTCGTATGGGGTACTGTTGCCATTGGGCTCAAGAGGCAGTTTCCTCGTTTGAGGTACAAAGCGAAACAGTCCAGTAGGCGCCATGGTCCAGTCACGCAACTGCGTGGCTTTGGCGGCAGGCTCCGCTGCCGTTGCTCTGATCGGAGCCCCAGCCTTCACCTCTGGCCCCAACGCCGCAAGCAACAGCTACGCTCCTGCTCGCAGCCATGGCACCGTGCAGCAGGGCACCTCTACCATGGGGGGCGTTTCTTGCACCGTGGCTGCGGCCGGTGTGATTGCACTGGGTGCCGCGGGACGCCGCGCGCAGAAGGTTGCGCGTGCTGGAGTGCTGACCAAGGACGACCAGGGCCGTTTCCGCTTTGATGCCCCCGAGACAACTTTGGTGCCTTCAGAGCAGCCAGGTGTCACCATGCCCTTGGGCTTTTTTGATCCTTTGGGATTCACCAAGAGCGGGCTGATGACCTTCCCTGGCGACTCCACTGGCTTCAAGCACTTGCGAGCGGCAGAGATAAAACACGGCCGATTCGCGATGATGGCAGCAACCGGGTCCCTCTTCGCTCACTTTGTGAAGTTCCCTGGTTTCGAGGATGTGCCGACCGGCTTGGCCGCCCTGGGCACGGACAAGGGCCTTGAAGGCTTCTCTCTTCTGCTCTTCATGATCAGCGCTCATGAGGCAGTCACTTGGAAGCCAGTCAAGGAGCCAGGCAGCTTCGGCGACCCCTTCCAGTGGAAGCAGTTCACTCCTGAGATGAGGAGCAAGGACAGAGCTTTCGGCTTGTCAGCTTGTCAGCTTGTCAGCTTGTTAGCTTGTTAGCTTGTGTGCTTGTCTGCTTGTCAGTTTGTATCACGGCGTCAGCGTTTCAGCCTGCATTCGATAGTAGCCACGGTAGCCGTTGTATTGCAGCTGCCTCCAGGGAACAACAATGTGATATCATATTGGATGGTCTGCTAGACTTGCGAGGCTTGTTTCGGTCAGCTTTTCTTTGTGATGTCTGGAGAGCTTTGGATTTGTTGTAGTGCGCAGGAGATCAACAACGGCCGCATGGCAATGTTCGCCATCATGGGCCAGATCGCCGCAGAATTGGAAACGGGCAAGGGCCCTGTCGACCAGTTCTTGGGCTGAGTACCCACCGGGAGCAGCACAACTGCCTTATTTTCCAATCTTTGATGCCAGCTCTGCACGTGTAGACTCTTACAATGTCTGGGCACTTTCTTGTCCCTGGCCAGTTGCAGAGGGGGCCAAAAGATGCCAATATGTGTTTTGACATGGATCAATAAGGTATGCATCAGAGCTTGAGGTCATGCTGAGCCAGGTGAAGAACCGGTGAACAGTCGTATGGGGTACTGTTGCCATTGGGCTCAAGAGGCAGTTTCCTCGTTTGAGGTACAAAGCGAAACAGTCCAGTAGGCGCCATGGTCCAGTCACGCAACTGCGTGGCTTTGGCGGCAGGCTCCGCTGCCGTTGCTCTGATCGGAGCCCCAGCCTTCACCTCTGGCCCCAACGCCGCAAGCAACAGCTACGCTCCTGCTCGCAGCCATGGCACCGTGCAGCAGGGCACCTCTACCATGGGGGGCGTTTCTTGCACCGTGGCTGCGGCCGGTGTGATTGCACTGGGTGCCGCGGGACGCCGCGCGCAGAAGGTTGCGCGTGCTGGAGTGCTGACCAAGGACGACCAGGGCCGTTTCCGCTTTGATGCCCCCGAGACAACTTTGGTGCCTTCAGAGCAGCCAGGTGTCACCATGCCCTTGGGCTTTTTTGATCCTTTGGGATTCACCAAGAGCGGGCTGATGACCTTCCCTGGCGACTCCACTGGCTTCAAGCACTTGCGAGCGGCAGAGATAAAACACGGCCGATTCGCGATGATGGCAGCAACCGGGTCCCTCTTCGCTCACTTTGTGAAGTTCCCTGGTTTCGAGGATGTGCCGACCGGCTTGGCCGCCCTGGGCACGGACAAGGGCCTTGAAGGCTTCTCTCTTCTGCTCTTCATGATCAGCGCTCATGAGGCAGTCACTTGGAAGCCAGTCAAGGAGCCAGGCAGCTTCGGCGACCCCTTCCAGTGGAAGCAGTTCACTCCTGAGATGAGGAGCAAGGACAGAGCTTTCGGCTTGTCAGCTTGTCAGCTTGTCAGCTTGTCAGCTTGTTAGCTTGTTAGCTTGTGTGCTTGTCTGCTTGTCAGTTTGTATCACGGCGTCAGCGTTTCAGCCTGCATTCGATAGTAGCCGCGGTAGCCGTTGTATTGCAGCTGCCTCCAGGGAACAACAATGTGATATCATATTGGATGGTCTGCTAGACTTGCGAGGCTTGTTTCGGTCAGTTTTTCTTTGTGATGTCTGGAGAGCTTTGGATTTGTTGTAGTGCGCAGGAGATCAACAACGGCCGCATGGCAATGTTCGCCATCATGGGCCAGATCGCCGCGGAATTGGAAACGGGCAAGGGCCCTGTCGACCAGTTCTTGGGCTGAGTACGCCGACAAGCAAGTCAACTCTTTAAGCCACTTCAGTTTTCGCAGCTTGCAGACCGACCATCGGGTGGAAATTGAGTTGTCAGTTGGTGCCAAGATTGAAGATTTGGAGTTGGCCTTTGCCAAAGATGAAGATGTTGGAGTACGTGGACAAAGACTCAGAACCTTGGGAGTCATTGTTTGATATAGGCTTCGCCCGATTAAGAAAAACAAGCAACAAAAAAAACACAGCCACACACACAGACACACATCCTTGTGACCCTGATTTGCGCGGTCAAAAACCCTTGAGGGAATGTGTGGTGGTCTCCGATCGATGTTCACAAGGTGGAAAGCAGTGCGAAATCGGCCGTGCCAGGACAAGGATGGTGTGGCGCGGGGCCGAGTACCCGAGGGGCTGAGAATTTCAGAGCTCTCGGTTCCTTTGTTTGGCTCGACATGCTCTCCTTTGGAATCCAACGCTTCCAGTTTCCTGGCCAAAGAATCACTTTCTGGAACTGGACTCCGGGGCCTTTGGGGCAATCCAGGTGGTTCGCTCAAGGCGGAGGGGTGTGTGTGTGTGTGTGTGTCTGTGTGTGTGTGGGTGCTTTCTGCACTTCAGGCTTCCATTCTGAGGTCCATTCTCGCAAACAGCCGGACTGCCCTACGTGCGACCTCTTTGGATGGTTTCGCCCAGGAAGCAAAACCCTGGCACGCTTTCGAGGGCTCCTAAGTCTGCCTCTGTGTCATGTCGACGGAGCAATCAGCCTTACGGAGTAATCAACCTTGTGGAGGTTTGTTTGCCTCCAAAACATACTTCAGGACCCCTCTAAAAAGTTGAATTCGATGCCTGATAGGCCGCGAGCTTCCCGGACTTTCACCAGTACATGGAGAGGCTCTCGTTTCGCTTTGCCGTACGTCCTCGTTTAAGCCATTCGGGTAAGTGAAGGTTCAGGGACTTACCCAGCGGATACCTGCCGTTTTATTCTTTGCCATGTTTAACGTACAGGACATATGAGGCCCCATATGGCCATGGGGCAAACCTATGGCTCCATTTTGGGGTGGATGAACATGCATTTGCCGCCTATTTTGATGTTCACCAGGGGTACAGGGTTTTGACCCACCGCCATGTCATCTTTTTCGTGGCTTTCCTGCAACGGTCATCCCATGGGACCTTTTGATCAACCCCCTAGCCCTTCTGCCAGGTACGGACACGGGCAGCGGCCTTGGACAATACCCGAAGTCGGCGTAGCGACAGCCTGATATCATGTGAGCCACGCTCAGAATCAATTCGGGTGGGTGAGCAAGGGAGAGTCCCCTTTACCATAAGTGGGTGCCTTCGCCGCCGGCGTGTTTCTTTACATGGTCCCGGGCTTGGACCAATTTAACTCGATCCGTTTTGATTATGACTCATGTGGTACATTCGATCAATGTTGAGTAATGAGAACGCCTGTTTGTGAGAACGCCTGTTTGGGATACTTCAAAGGAAGCCAAGATAAGCCAAGGCCACTATAAGGTACTTGTGTGAGAAACACCCATGTACGGCCTCTGGGACGTCTCATTTGGGGATGGATTCAACAGATACCCGCCACCTTAAAGTGGTGCGCACACCCCACAAAATTATGTGCAGCAAAGGCTCCCCGGTCGAACATTTTGCGTCTGTGGGTGTTCCTTTTGCTTTTTTACTCGGTCTCCTTTTCATGGTTGTTGTTGGAGAACATTTTACATTTTGCTTATTGTGGCTTAGTGGGAAATCCCCACTTGACTGCTAACATTAAAGTTCTTGCTCCCCTTCCAACGACAACCAAGTTTTCAAACGAGAAACACGTTGGGAGGTCTTCATCGAAGACCAAGAATGGGACGTCAGTCTCGTCGTCTGAGGAAAGAGGCAGGCCTGCCCAGCTTTCAGCTGGCGGCCCCGGTCGGCGGGGGGGGGGGGGGGGGCTTTTTTTTTTTTTTTCTCTGGGGATCCAAAGGCACCAAGAGCCACAAGCTGTCGATGGTTTGGGTTGAAAATGTGCTGGGGGGGGTCGGGTCTCCGAACCTCTTTTGGTATGTAGAGCGCTCCGAAGTTGAGGACACCATTTTCAGAGTTTCAGCTTTGTGAGTGGCCAAAGGAGTCCCGTAAGTGACAAAGTAATGGGAGTCAGCCACTTTTGGTATCACAGAAAGGCACATTTTTGCGCCATGGCCGGGCATGTTGGTTCTCAGGTTCTGAATTCCACATGGGTTGTAACTTCCTACAAAACAAAAACCAACTTGGGATGGCCCATTTCTGTTTTTGTATTTCCCATACGCCCGTTTTTGAGCACCCAGTACTTAAAGAGCACCACGCACCTCTGGTTGATTCCCAGGAAGAATTCTCTACGTTTGGAACACACATCCTCCGAGTTCGCCCATCCGTGATTTTTCTCGTTTCGCGGCTTAGGAAGTACCTCAAGTTCATGGAGTTCCAGAATGCGCAGGAGAGCGCCAGAGCTCCAAAAGTCAACCGGTGAAAACCGCGCAAATTTTTGTGCCGCGTGAATGTGGATGCCTGTGAGAGGAGCACACGCCAGAGCTCAACTATGAGGCCCGAGCCTGCGTCATCTGGGTTTCAATCATATGGCTGTGGTTGTCAAAACCAGTGGAGTAGGTGCACCACCCATTTTAGAACCTGCTTTAGTGGGGATTGGGATGTTCACTGGCCATATTGGGGGCTTAGGTCCACCGGGTTTGCACCCTTAGACATCATACCCATCTTGGCATGAGCACTTGTCCTCTGCAGATATGGGACAATTTTGGCGGAGCAATGCTTCGGGGAGCTCGCAGTGTGCTTGAAAGGACTACTCACAGTACCTCAACAAGAATGGCGATGGCATCAGTCCGCAGGACGCCAGAGCGTGCGACACCGCGTCCATCGACCTAGGGTTGTTTGGTGGCTGGGGCCATAGGTCTGGCAGCCGAAACTTTGTAACAGTGCAAACTGGCTTGTGCTTGAGGAAATTCAGTAAAGCTTGTGAAGCCTGGCAACAAGAGTGACAAACGGATTCAAGTGACGTTGTATCGCCCTCCACCTCCAACAGCAAACACGACAAGTCTGTTGCCCATTTGACTTTTTGGTTTTCTCTTACAGTGAAGATGCATGGCAGCAGTTTGGGCAGGAGTCGATGATGCACAGGGGCACAGGCATTGACAGTTGCTACTTGAGCAGCGCCCAATCAGGGATTGTAGTCATCCCTATAAACAAAGAACTTCTGGTCGAGCCAAACGCCTATGGGGTTTGGGCGCGGCGCACTTGTCCTTGCTCTGTTGTTCTTTAGGTCTCGCCCGGAGCCGGCACGCCGAGTTTGGTGGCATCTTTGTTTCAAGCAGCACGTTTGGGAGTTGGTTCGAAAGGGAGCCTGAACAAAAAGGCTGCGTTTTCGCATGGCGCCCATGCGAGACTCATCATCCACGTTGAGATTTGCAGGAGTTCCTGGACTACCACCAGTACATGGATAACCATGCGCAGTTCGAGGATTGCGGTTGCTTCTTTCCAGCCGACCCCCCTTGCCCGACGACATGTGTGGCGACAACATTGCAGTGTCTCACGTGGCAGCCACGGAGGGACACAGAGAATCCCAGCCTCCCGCCACCGTTTGCCCCAACTGGTCACTGAAACAGGGGTCCTGTTTATATACTTCCTTCTTGGCGGTTTCAACTTTCTATCATCACCTCTTTAACTTCAAGGCAAGTTCTCTTTTGGTTGGGGTGATGTCAACGTGTGTGCCCTCAACACAAGCAAGCAAGCAAGCAAGCAAGCAAGCAAGCAAGCAAGCAAGCGAGCAAGCGAGCAAGCTAGCAAGCTAGCAAGCTAGCAAGCTAGCTAGCAAGCAAGCTAGCAAGCTAGCAAGCTAGCAAGCTAGCAAGCGAGCGAGCGAGCAAGCCAGCAAGCCAGCAAGCCAGCCAGCCAGCAAGCCGGCAAGCAGACAGACTGACAATCAATCAATCAATCAATCAATCAATCAATCAATCAATCAATCAATCAATCAATCAATCAATCAATCAATCAACCAATCAATCAATCAATCAATCAATCAATCAATCGATCTATCAATCAAATCAATCAACCAATTAATTAATCAAACGAACAACCAAGCAACCAAGATCAACCAACCGTTTGGGATCCTTTTTTTGCGTTGGTGAGTTCGTGGCATTGCCAGGCACAAGTGTGGACATGAGTGTGGAGGGCGCGGGGGGGGGGGGGGGGACCTATACGCATTTTCCAGGTCCCCCACCCCACATGAGTGGGGGATCAACCACGCAAGCGAACGAACAAACGATCGATCAATAAAACGAACAACCAACACACAAAACAAAAAACAAACAGGTCAAACCGCAGCGAGTCGCCTGGCACTGTTTTGAAAATTCACTGCGCTGGTCAACCAAATCAGCACATGGTAGCAAAAAACGAATCGAATAAAGTTTCAACACACTCTTGGCAGATCAAAAGATCAACATCAATCAGTGCAGGTTCAAGTGCGTGTATTTTCACTCGTGCCCCACCTGTTTATTGTCATTTGTGCCAGCATGCGTGCAGCGGTCGTGGATGCGTATGGGCGTGTGTATCATCGTTTGTGCCAGCATGCGTGCAGCGGTCGTCGATGCGTGTCAGCGTGTGTATTATCATTTCTGTCAGCAAATGAGTGTAGGGGTCGTGGATGCTCGTGGGCGTGTGTGTGTGTGTGTGTAAAATTTGTGCATGCGCGCGTGCAGCGGTCCCGGGTGCGCTTGGGCGTGTGTGTTTTCATTTGTGTCAGAGCGCGTGCAGTGGTCGTGGATGCGCGTGAGAGTGTGTGTTACCGTGTGTGCCAGCATGAGTGCAGCGATTGTGGGTGCATGTGGCCATGTGTAGTACCACTTGTGCCAGCATTCGCGCAGCGGTCAGGGATGCGCGTGGGCGCGCGTACTTTCATTTGCAACAGCATGAGCGCGGCTGTCTTGCATGCGCACGGCGGTCTTGCATGCGCACGGCGGACGTGTGTGCGCGTGGGCGCGCGTTG